TTCAATCAAAGAAATTTAATCAGGATCCAAAATAGTAAAAAATGTTAGCAAGATCAATGTTGAAAAGCACTAATCAAGAAGAGAATTATGGGTAATGTGTAGTGCTGTGGTATATAGATGTAAACTGCTACTCCGCACTGTTGATTGTATATTTAAAATATTGCCAAGAGTGCATGTCAGATGGTCAGAGCTCCAATAGAATAATAAACATTTACTAATAAGGTAAACAAAAAATCCATCAAACATTGGCCTTGCCAAAGCATAGATAAATATTTAAAAATTGTTAGTGGATATAATTTAAATTTATAAAGGACTGTTGGTGCATGTTTAGATTTCATGTGACCAATGTTTTGCTACAGAACATTGCTACTAAACATTGCTGTTGAACAATTTCTGAAATGCTTGGCGCAATGGCACAATAATAAAAAGCTGTGGCAAAAAAGCACAGGAAAAAAAATGAATTGGCGCGAGTTTTTGAAAGTTGAGTTAGTGTTGAATGAAAAACAGATTTATATTTACTATGGTAGATTTAAATGTCATTCAAGTTTAGAATGTATCTAGATACCAATTTAGATTGATAAATTTCAACTATTATGAGTGTTGTACATGTAGTAGGTATAATGCAGGATTGTATGATAGTTTCTATCACAATGCCATCTACATGAATTGCTAAACTTCAGTTTTGGGTGAGAAATTAGGGTTGGATGTAGTTTAGGGGCTGATATATTTCAAGGTTTTTTTTTGCATTGTGAGCATAATAATTATTTACCAGTATCATATTCAAAATGGCAGTGTACATGTATTAGTTAAGTTAGACAATGTCAAAAAAGACAATTATAAATATTTATATATCCTATGTTGCTTATCTTAAGCAAATCACATAGTCACACACCTAATTTACTTATTTTGCCTTGCACTTTCACCTCTTTCACAATAAGAATGCTTCACTATTCTTTGGTCAGACCCTGTTGTCTAAAGTCTTTTCTCTGTAATCGGGTCATCTGTTTTTGAATATCAATCAGAACAATTCATCGCTGAAATTGCAGTTTGAGTGTTATTATCTAAACAGTATATGCCTAAAGCGAAATCTGTGCTGTGCATTTATAAATGTTAATGTTGCCCATAAGATTAACTTGAATACATCTGTGCTGTTTTAGTATCTATCAAAACAACTCACCAACTCAGTTGAGTTTTGCAGGAAAATTGGATCAAGAATATATAGTAGTGGATGTACTTGACTTTCAAGGTCAAGTCTAAGGTTATTTAATTGCTTGAATCATTTGGCAAACTTGTAGTGTATATACATGTATTCTGATCTGACCAAATCTGTATGAATATATGTTTTACATTTATCTTGACATGTCCCATGTATAAATTTTATGGCAATTAAAAGTGAATAAAACCGAACTTTTGGTCACTTGTTCAACTTCAAGTGAACGATTTACTTTTTGTACACAAGCAATATTTTCTCTATTAAAAGCACATCTCTTATAGAAGCCATATGCAAATATGATATCTTTCATAATAATGTAATAATAAATTTTTACTTGATTTTAATTTCAATTTCTAACTGATCAGTTATGGGCTACATATTCGGCAATAGGGAACATGTACCAGTAATAAATACTGTAATTTTTAGCTATGATGTTATTTTAGTCTATTTAACAAATCTGTGATTTCACTAATTTAAGATTAAATTACCGGTAGTGTCAAATTAAAAAAAAATTATATTCTCACAATGAAATTGTTAGTGCTTTAACGTAATTAATTAAGATTCGATTTGATTAAGTCAACATTCACAAAAATGGCAAGTAGCATATTCAAAGTGTTTTACAGTAATCTAGATTTATGAAGAGTATTTTGATTAATGTCATCCTTTGAATTGCCGACAACTGCATACCTACAATGGAATTACAGCAGATTTAGTGAAATCTACATAAGCTTTACTTTGACCCCAGTTATTATGCATATGATATTTGATTGGTTGAGTTTAACACCTAAAATCTGCTGCCATTTGTGCATTTACATGTAATGGTGAGCTCCATAGTGAGAAGTGGTTGCTCAGGTGATGGGACACTACTGTTATACCCTACTTGAGCAATTGCCAGTTCTGTAGTGCTTCAGTGATCTACAGTTAATGCAAGCCAAATCATATCTGCCCAAAAATTTAATTACGCTAGCAGTCTTGTGAGAAAGTAAGAATGTCTTTCTTTGGTCACTGGTAGCATAATAGCAGTGAACTCTACCTGTAGTTGAACATTTAAAAGGGTTGACTCAGTGGGAAGGCTAATTTCACTGGCCATGATTCATTCACTAATGAAACTTTGGTTAAGGTCTGCAGGTGCTTATGTTCGACCAGGTCTGGATGACACCAGGATAGTGCATTTAATTGCCATAATGCCATTATGGTAGCAATATGGTCACACAAAGAATGCACTATATGTCAGTACTCGCACTTACTGTACTATTTGCACATGAACAAACAAATCAAGAGAGACAATATTAAATGTCTGGATCTATTTTGGTACAAAAATAACTTTTCAAAAAAATTGAGAGAAAAAAAAGAAAAAAAAATATCCTTGTCATGGTTGGACCCAAACAATGTTTGTACAGAGTAGTTAAAAAAATCTCATATTTGTCATGGTTGTAATGTTTATAGCTATATGTGTATCTGCTCTCACAATTGTAGACAATGCATGCCTCAAAAACAGCCAACCAGAAAAATCAGCTTAATAAACTGATTTAGCATGAGTAAGTCATGTTGGATGTAAGTCCTTTTCAAGGATGCATGTAAAATACTTGTACATCTTTGATTTAGAACATGCTACTGTACTTTAATTAAAGTGCTGCTTTTAAACAAAAAAAATCTATTTAATTAAAATAAACAATATTATTTATCCAGTGACATAAAACATGAATTTTGATTAATTTATATTGACCTGTGCTATTCACAATGATTGGATATTCCTTGCATGTGTTGTGTTATTTAAATGTGCCAATTATTTTTTCATTAGATGGGATTGTAAGGTTAGTTGAAAAGGGAATACATGATGCATTGGATAGAACTCCCGTTGACAGAAAAATCACTACTTATTATGTGTTTTCTTGTGTACGGGTATTCATATAATGTTGATCCAAGTTCACATTCTGAATGTTTGAGTGACATATGTTCTTTTTTTTTTCCTTTACCTCCCTGTTTTGTTTTCTATCTGTCTCCTATTACCTGATTTCTGTTTACATGGCACAGTATGGTTCAATGGTAAGATACCAAATATCACATAATGACAGATGAATTGATTACTAACACCAATCACAACAACGCATTTTAGGAAAGTCATGCTCACTGCATGTTAGCTCGCCCATCTCAAAAATAAAAATAATCATCTTCATCTGTTCTGTTGAACTGTTTCAAATCATTTTGGGAGCTAGTTAAGGCAAAGTTCTGAAAAGCTTTTATGTGGTATGTTTGCAAACTGAATAGTTGTATGTATTATTCTGTTGATGTATTGGAATGTGTTAAATCCCTATGCAAGAGGATTATATTCATATTTTGCCATTGCAACATTCCAAATATTGTGCCGGTTCTCCAAATGTGGGCGTGTTTTATCCTATTTTGCCTTAACTACCCTGCAATAACAAAAATGGTTATAGTATACACCTGGTGCTACTATGATTTTGGAGTCATGGAACAGATATATTTGTGCTTGTAACAAGAATAATTATTACATTACTAATGGCTCACTTAACCTGAATAGTCTATTCTCTTAGCTGTCATATATTTTCATATTTTTGCCTGGAGTCAAATCCTGTTCACAAATATTGCATGTTAGGGTGAATTCTGGTGTCCTGAATTTAGTAGTAATTGAAACAAGATAAGGCATGACCTATTCTTTAATGGAGATAAAATGGAATTCAAAACCCCTATAAAGTAGAATAGGGCATGGAAGGTACTGTTAAGGTCAACAAATCAAGGAAAGAATGCCTTGTATATACATCTGTCACCATCCATTTAAATGGAGATTAATGTCATATTAAAATGTTCACTCTTTTAGTTGATTATTGTTGTGAATTCACTGTAAAACACATTATTTGATCATGCATTTAATTATTTAATTACACATTGGCATCCAAAAGTAGCATTTCCAAGGCATGATTCCATTGATTTTGCTGCTGAAATCTAAGATACTGGTAGTTTTTTTTTTTACTCAGTCAGCCATTTGTTCTATTAGAAGCACATTGCATTTATTGTATGCTGGATCATTAAAGTACATGTCTTAATCATCTTTAACAATAAACTCATCTCTGTCATTTACATGAGCATATGTGTTTCTAATAGTGCAAATACTGCACTTTATATTGAATACAATGATAGTATTATAATTATCATCATCACACAACTGTTGGATTTCATATCATTTTGATGAAAACTCTCAGAACCAAGTTTAGTTGAATTGTCATTGAGAAACTCTGTGTTGCTATCAATGGTGTGTCGTATTGACATGAATTACTATATTTGCTCTATTAGCGTGTACATCTCCAATAACAGCGCATGTGAATCAAAAAATTGCATTTGTTGAATACTGAATGTCTTATTTTGTAACACTGTAATGTACATGTGCTGCTAACAGAACAAATACAGTTGTTCCTCTAGTGAAACATCAACAATATGCATAATAATATCCACCATGGTAAAAAACACAACCATAATAAATAACTCATACCCCATGCATGCCTCACAGTGTGGTATTAATGTAACTACAGATGCAATATCATATTAAGTTACCTAGTTTTCATAATCTTAAGATTTAACCCCAGGTTCATGACCTTTGACAAATATGGTCTGCATCAAAATTGACCTAAAGTGGCTGGCATGTTTCTAAAAAGCATGTTTAATGCACACTGTTTGAATTATCTCGTGCTGTATCAGTGCATCATGCATAAATAAATTTGCATATATTTTTGTGATCTTACTTGTCTGAATTGTACTCATTGCTCTTCAGTTCTTGTGCCACCTAATATTTACCAACAACCTCAAGATAGACTGATTGCTGAAAGTGGTGCTGCTACTTTGACTTGTACAGCAAGTGGTTCTCCACCAATAAAATATCAATGGAAAAAAGGTTCATCATATGTGTCTCAGCCTTCGCCAGTTAGTTACCATCCATTGAATAATGTGGATACTTTTGATTCAGGAGAATACTACTGTGTTGTCTCAAACCCAGTGGGATCTGTTATTAGCAGCGCTGCTGTAGTGCAAGTAGCTTGTGAGTATTTTCATATTTTAAACAATTATAGCTTTCTGTTTGCTTGATAAATAAAAAAACAACATCTGATTGAATTTAATTCAAGTTTAGTATACATAATATAAAGTTATGGATTCAAATTTAATTTCTAAGGAACCAACAAAATTTACTGAGGTGTGTTATAAAGGTATTGCATATACTTATTTGTTATATAAGTAGTTATAGTTATACAAGTATGTGGGGGGAAAATGATTTGTAAAGGTGTTTGTTTATTTAGGTTTTCAATTAAAATATAAGATGATGTTCCTGCCGTGTCATCTTGCATACTTATAATAAATAACATTCATCCTTTGTATATGTTTATCTTCAGATATAAGAGAGTATCAAGGTGGTCCAACAACATTCTCAGTGAATGCTGGTTATTCTATAGAGTTAGAGTGTCCGCAGTTAGGTTAGTAACAGTCTATGATAAAACTTTGTGAATTCAATCAAACAATATATGTCAGAATATTCAATCACATAGATGAAAGTATTATATTGCATAATTCATTACCTATATATGTTAATTTCAACTTCATTACTATTTACTATTATTTTGACATATACCGATACAGGGGTTTTTCTAGAAAAAAATTGCAAGAGGGAGCATTGCAATTTAGTGATGCCACCAAGTGGGGGAGATAGGGTTCTCCCTACCAGCATGTGGAGTTTTTGATAACTCTAAGATAAAATGGAGCATTCTATGGCTTCCTTGGGGCCAAAATTACTATCAGACAGGTCACAGTTGAAGACTGTGGCCACATGTGATCCCTGGTCATTCAGAATTTCATGGTTGCCAGAGGATCTGCTTCCCAGGGTAAGGGGACACATGGCCATGGCATGAAGGCGCTGTGCCCCTGTTCTCTTGTTTAAAAAAATTCCTGTCGGTATATATCTTATTAATTGTGGGTAATGATTGACATGTTGTTAATTTATTGGATTACAGATACCTTACCTGACAGCTCTCCAGATTTCCATTTAACATGGAAAAAAGATAACTTCCCCATCAACGGGGGAAATGTTGTCATCTCGCTGGATCACAAGTTAGTTATTTTGTCAGCATCAGAAAGCAATGAGGGTCAGTACCATTGCAGTGCATTGAACACAGTAGTTGGAAATGGGATGAGAGAGAGCCCAACGATTAATCTATATGTTAATGGTACGTGAATTTGCTGTTTTTATTATTAGTTTATATTAGCTGATAGACCATACAATATCAGATTTATTAGTGTTGTAATTGTAGTTTGTTTCAAGTTTGTCACCAATTTGAAATCCTGTTTATCTCATATATTCTTTTCCTAGGTTTTTGGATAAAAGCTAACATAAGGATTGTAATTTGTAAACACTTGTTGAACACATTTTATGGCATCCCTGCTAATTTACATAAAAGATTCATGAACACTGATTACTCTATTGTAAATAAAGCAGATAGTCCCAGTGTCTATTGCAGCATAACTAATCCTGGCTATTCATCACTTGTAGAGATATAATCATGTGAAAAGGAGCCATAATATGGTGGTCTAAGGTCTTTTATTATAGGTTTTTCATGTGCTTGTTTTTTATTTTATCCCTCTAGGAAATAGACCATCAAGTGTTGGACCAAGAATAATAGTTCCCCCAAAAGACACTGTATTCACACAGGGAGATCCCACTGTTCAGCTGGAATGTATCGCTAGCGCTACGTAAGTACCAGTGTTTGCTCGTTTTTTTAAAACGAAAGGAAATGTTTGGTGAACAAATATTTGTAACTGTCGTTGTCTGTTCTCCCATTATCTACCGCTGGTCAAATTTCAGTAAAACTTGGTACATAGGTACATATCTATTACATTTATAATTTGCATAGAAAATCAGCTTTTCAACTGATATCTCAAGTACTAATCATCACATTTTAATGAAACATGATACATAAATACTCTTGGACACAGTGCAGACCTGATCAGTTTTGGGCTAAAATCTGTGCCTATTAATTACAAATTTGCTTAATAATTTGCAAGTATTATAAACTTGACTACTATGGATCACATGTTGTGCATTTCAAATAGCAGACAAATATTAGTTGCCCGCTTATTGTTTGATAGGCTAATCTTTAAATTTTGAATTAATTGTTAATATACTAATAGTTCTTTGTAAGCTTTCTTTGATTTTGTGGTTACACTAACTTTGTACTTGTTCACATTTCTATGTCAAACAGGTATCTTTCTTTAGGACATTCCAGGTTTGTAGCCTTCTATTTTTATATCTATAATTAATAATTTTGATTTTCAGACCATTAGATTTGAAAATTACTCTATGGAAACGCAATGGTATGACCATCAGTCAATCTGCAAACAAACTGATATTGTTTAATCCATCCTCAATTGATGAAGGTGTATATGAATGTGAAGTTTCCCTGCAGTATCACTCCTACAGCTCAGTACGTGCCACAGCTACTATCTCAATGAGAAGTAAGTAAAGATTTCTACCATGAGCAGTCAATCTTACCTCAATATGGTATATGTAAAAGTATAGTTTAATTACTTTTATTAGCTATTGCATTTTGATACAAAAAATAAAATATATATTGTTAAAAAAAATTATCTTTAGAATGCGAAAACATTTGTTCAATGTTCGAAAACGCTTTTACAATAATATAAAAACTCTTGATACATACGCGTCCTAGATTTGTCACTATTTCAATCCATTATTGCCTAAATACAATAGTCATTACAGGGTTGCAATATATCAAAATATTGCAGTAAGTATTCTGAGAATGATTGATTCTAATATATGTGTCTTAAAAACGATTGTGTTTTTTTCACTGAAACAAAATGGTGATAATTTTCACTTTGTTTCTGGCAAAAAGAGAATGGTATGCATTAGTAGATACAATGTCTGAATAATTATATCAGTACGTGCATCATTCACGTATACATTGACTCACTGCTTGTATTGCCTTTCTCAGCTGAACCAGTGTGGATGTTGAGTCCTGTTGCCGTAACAACAGGGGATGTCAATGAACCCATCGAGATACCTTGTAAAGCATCTGGTGTTCCTGAGCCTATGTATAAATGGTACCAAAATGGTATTGATGTCAGCACGCTTGGAAACAATCGCTTCATTGTAAGTGCAATTAAATCAAATTCACACATCATGTAAATACTAAGACTGGATCTTGTTCTGTAAAGATTCTTGATGAACAAAATGTTAATATCTGTACTGAGTAGTGAATTACATTTATCATAATACAGGTTCTTTCAACGGGCAGTCTGCAGATCACAAGTTTGCATGCAGAGGATCAAGCAATGTTTCAGTGTTTTGCCTCAAATGTTGTTGCTGATATCAGTGTCAGTACCTGGCTGCAAGTAGAGAGTAAGTAGCTACCTAATAGCACTATTGAGATCAGTTACTATAAATGAATGATTTACTGCTTTCTTTTTATAATATACGAGCAAGTTGTCTCAAATTCACTAAAACACAATGGACTAAAAAAAGGTGTGAAATTTGATGCGTTGAGCCCGATAGGATCTGATTTATACATTATGAATCCTAAAAAACCATGCATGATCACTGTCCCCCTTCTTGCTAATATATATATCTAAAACGTGCATACTACAAAGTTCTCACACTGTGTTGAAGATTGTATGTAAGGTTTCAAACATAAAATCTATAATCTATAGTTTATAATTCTGTGTCATATCCTTCACTGTTATATGTGACAGGATCATCACGGTCTTTCGGTTCAGTTCAGATTTACATCATCAATTGGTTGTTGTATCAATGGTTCTTTAAATCTTACGTTTATATAGTGTACTAACACATCGTTGTTCTTTTCTGCTGCCTTCACCAACATTGATTTTAAGACATCAGTAGTTGTAAATTTCTGAAGTTCTGAAACTGTTAGAAAGATGTACTTTGTTGAATGTTACTGCAAGCTAGCTTAAAGAAGTGGGAGATGCAAGCTTGGTTGACAGTGCCAACCTTTTATTACCCCCCCCCCCCAAGTACATGTTTGTTGGAATGTTATTACAAACAAACGACTGAAAAACTTTAACCATTTGTTTGTTGTTGTTTTGCAGGACTAGCACCTAATATAACCAACCCTCCCAACGATACGTCAGTCTTGGCTGGATCCACAGCACGATTACATTGTGGATATTCAGGTTCTCCTGCACCTGATGTTATCTGGAAAAAAGGTAAGGTTTTAGTCTTTGAATTTTCTTTGAAGGGATTATTGTCCAAGTGGCTTTTAGTTCTCCATACTCAGCGTTTGGTCAGAAATGCTGTTATACTTTTGATTCAAACTTTGTATAAGAATATCATAATACACATGTACCATAAAAACTAAATATGCTGCTAATCTCTTCTTTAAAAAACATGCACACAAGATCAATGCCAACAGAGTGAAATTTACTTAACATCAATACTCCAAAGGAAATCCAAACATGCATTATTTTCTCTTGTATACTAGATGACACAGTTGTTGGTCGCTGGAATGGTAGTGGTAGTGGTCTTGGAATTATTCCAGTGTCTAGTACAATAAATGTTATGTCAAATGGTGATTTGATTATATCAACTGCCAAGGTTGCAGATTCTGGGCTGTATACTTGTACTGTTGTTAATAATGTTGCAAGTGTAACAGCCAGTGCAACACTAACAGTTCAGGGTAAGTTAAATCTTTTTATTTAGCTCTGCTGTCGACTTACTCTACAGAGTGGAGTTGATCATATTTTTTATTGTCTGTTGGCGTTGACTTTACATATTTGACTTCATGAAGATGACAAGTCTGTTTGCTTTGATACTTAGTATGTACCATAGGTGGATCTCTTTCTCTGATTTGTTCATTTTGTGAAGATATCTTCAAATCTCTAATTTTCTAATTTTCTACATTCTAATTAGGTGATTACTATCAAACTTATATATAATATTTGTCTGCATGATCTTCCCACCCTATCTTCCAACCATAGGTTGTGATCTTCCATGTGGTTTTATCTTTCCACCTTATACTGTGATCTGCCCACCTATGTTATGATATGCCCACCCTTACATATACAGGGTCATGTGCAGTTTAACTATTTCTAATTTTAGTGAATATTTTCTGACTTCTTCTTAAAAAATAGCTAGTGCTATTGCTTTGGTATTTCGAGTGAACCATATTCAGATTTGTTCATTTTGCGACAATACCTTCAATTCAATTTTAGTGAATATTTTTGACATTTTTGGTAATAAATGCTTATTTTCAACTGTCTAACTATACAGCAGCGCTATATCCGCTAACAGGTTGTTTGGGGTTTTCTGGAGGGAGGTGTGCACCTCATGTGTCAACAATCAATTGATTCATGTATAACTATCAACAAGTATTATAACTAACGATGTGTTTTCAATTATTTTTTCAGTTAAAACCCGTATAAGTGATCCCCCAAAGGATATGGAAGTTATCAAAGGATCTACCGGGATATTCCAATGTGGTGTATTACATGATTCTAATGTTGCTGTGCGTATTCTATGGCTAATGAACAATGTAGAGATAGATCTGTCAAGCAGTAACCGCATATCAGTGTTGTATGATGGTAGTCTCAAAATTGCTGGGGCTCGTTCAGATGACATTGGCAATTACACATGTACTGTCACATCCCCTGGTGGTAATGATGCAAGAACAGCGAGTTTAGTTGTTATAGGTATTTAAAGATTGTATTCAATTCTACTTCCCAGATTGCAAATATTATTAAGACACAGTCGGTTAGAATAACACTTGTGATGAGTGTAAAATGAATTAGTTTACTGTTTTTATACATTTTGTCACCAAGACTTGCCATAAGAAAATTCTAGCCTGATTCACTAATTAACTAGTCTCTTTTGTCATCTCATCAACACAAACTTCACTGCAAATATTGTAGTAATACGTACACTATATAAAAAATGCAAATGTGTGTCTGTATAGCGTTATAATCAATATTGAGATTAAAATGGCAAGCAAGAGTATTTGGAAACATTTATAATCCATCCATTTGGGACAAATACATGTAATCTAATATAATGCCAGAAAATATATAAGCCAATCAGATGGTGTGATACAGATTAAGCATATTATATGTATGTTCAAACCTTTCAGCTGTACAGTAACACATAGTAACTTATCATTTGCAGACTGATTTCTGTGTCATTTATATTTCTATGGATAATTGTTTGATTTTCAGAATTACCGTTTGCTCCACAATTTCTACATGCAGTACTTTCTATTGACCAGCGTAGATCAATTGATTTACAATGGTTGGAGTCATTTGATGGTAATAAAGCTATACTGCGATATAAGGTGTTTAGAAAGGAAAATGGTGAGTACACACAATGTGCATGCTTTCAGCTTAACCTTTTAATCTTATGTTTCTATTTTGATGAGATTCAATTTCTTCTTTGTTGTTTTCTAGCTGAAATAGTATGGACTCTCATAATGTCCAATGTTGCACCAGGAGTGGAAAATATCGTCACCATCCCAGACTTGACACCTTCATATCAATACGCATTTGCAGTTAGTGCTGTTAATGAACTTGGTGAAGGACCCCTGAGTGATCCCAGTAACAATGTCACATTACCTGTAGAACGTAAGTGAACAGTTTGTTTTAGACAATAGCATCATTTTTTAAAAGCTCTATGATCTATGATACTCTTTAACATATGAAAATGATAAAACAAAGCTTTACCTGCAGTATTCTAAATAACTCCCAAACTTTCTAAAAATGATTTAAACTGAATGAAATTGTGAAAGAAAAGGATACAAAGTAAAACTTTGAGGTTTTAAGCAGTGGCCCAACTAAAAATTTTGATGAGACCTGGTCACCTAATTATGTGTGTATAATACCTGTACAGTTATTTTTTGAAATTGTGACTTTTCAGATGCAAAATGGAAATATTTATGATATATAAACGATATATTTACTCTTTATTGTTTAGCCCCTGATGCAGCACCACAGGGAGTTGTTGCATCACCAAGATCCTCTTCCTCAATTAGGATACAGTGGCAGGTGAGTTTTTATTGTATGCAATGAGAGTCTCTCAAAATAATAATCAAAATGTCATGCTGTCAAATGTCAAGTTTGTGATATAGTAGTTTTTTATTGAAAGTAAAAGTGAGATTTATGAGATGATCAGAGAATTGTTTTTATTTATATTTCAATAAAAAAAAGAACACACTTGACCATACTGAAAAATGCTGAGTGTTCATAAGATTGCAGTGTTCATACACTTACTGTATTTGATCTATTGAAAGCATCATACACGTACCATATTTGCTCTATTAGAAGCACATGTTCAACAAAAGCACATGTAAACCAGAAATAAATTATGGATTTTTTTAATATTACTTCTTTTGTACATAAACATGCTGCTGTGATTTCCGTGGAGCAATGGAGCAAATATCATGTTTTCAGTGAAAATATCAGTATTATTATTCACTGCATACTGTTAAACTGCTGTGGACATGTAATAATCTAATATTATTATTGTCATTTCAACAGGCCCCACCTCAAGATAAATGGAATGGTCCTTTAACAGGGTACAGAATACGCTACAGATTAAAAGGATATAGCAGCTCTCCATACAGTTATCAGGATATTTATAATCCTCAACAACAGTCTTATGAACTCACTGATCTAATTACTTGGGATACTTATGAAATTCAAATTGCAGCAAATAACTCCATGGGTCCCGGGGTATATAGTTTAGTCATCATTGTAAGAACTTTAGAAGGAGGTAAGTTGTGAAAAATCTCAGTAAAGTTGGACTAGTAGATTAGTTGCATATTTAGTGGTTTTAATCTCTGAAATACTGATTTAAAGGTAACGTAAGATATTTAAAAACAGATCAAAATGTGATATATGAAAGCAAATTGTCGATAATGATTATAATTACTACAGTTGCACCAAAAGGAACATGTGGTGTCTTGATTTTACTTTGGTGCAGTAGTTCAGTATCCCATTAATAAACATATTCTCATATGTGTTTTTTTTTCAGTGCCCACTGAAGCACCACAGGTTGTAGTAACACATGCAAATAGTTCCACTAGTATATTTTTTCAATGGATGTCACCATCACCACAGAAAATTTTTGGAGTTAACCAAGGCTACAAAGTAAGTGCTATATTTAATACCATCCAGGACTGTTATCTATATTGCAAATGATAGCTATCAATTGTTGTATCCTTTTCTTCTCATCATTATCTATTATTTAATTTCTAGTTGAAAGCCTGGGAACCCAGCAACCCAGATTACAAGGTAGTTAAAGTTGTGCCACCAAACCCACAATACAGTCTGCAAGAGAATTATATTACAGGACTCAAGAAATTCACTGTTTATTTGACATCAGTTTTGTGCTACACCAGAGCAGGTGATGGACCAGAAAGTGATGAGCTGCAAGTTGAGACTTTTCAAGATGGTAAGATTTGACTTTTGTCCTCAACTAACAGTGTAAACTGTTTTTATGAATCCCCTGTCCTAGGTTTCATAAAGTTTACTGCCACAAAACTTCATAGTTTGTATTCTCTGTTTTCATTTGTGTTCATTCCTGCATCAGACTTACGCACATGCATTTGCTTCACAGTCCCATTCAAGATGGCCGAATGGCAGTCAAATATGAATAAAAATCACACAATTTCACCAATCTGGAACTGGATCTTAGTTATGTGGGGAGACAGATTTGGATTAAACTTGGTACATTTATTGAACACAATGAGACTTAGATGCACATTGTATAGTTATATGGATAAGATTCAATATGGTTAGCTGTAGTTCAAAATTTACACATATTACACATTCAGACATTGTATTGGCCATAATGCATATGCATTTGTATCTTGATTTTATTTAAGATGACCTTCAATAAATTAAACCAGTTTACAGTATATTTTGATGATTCAAAGTGAAAGTATCTATTAAATAATCCACAAAAGATTGTAGATGTTGATTGTAAAAATGTTGTCTTTGTGCTGTCAGTGTGCTTCATAAATTGCGCCTGTGTTAAAAAGTGTGGTTCTTATTTTTGACAGTTTACTTTTTAATAATGAGCATAGCGATCCAAAGTTTTAGTGATAATAGCCATCTCTAACAGTATATCTTTATTATTTTTTCCACAGTGCCAGGACCTGTGGGAGATCTTAGATTCTTTGATATCTATGATGATAGCCTGAAAGTGGATTGGACAGAACCAGAAGAAATCAACGGGATTTTGATAGGTATATAATTTGATTGAGTCATTTTTTTTTTAAAAATGCTGATTTAGTATCATTATGTTTTAATAGCCAATGGTCTGTGGCCAATCAGAATAACGTATTACAGGAATATGTATTATAATTCAAACCAGGACCCACTAGGCTAGGACCTGTGAAACATAAAAAACACTAGTCCTTAATTAAAAGTCACTAGTAGAATAATATTATTTTGATCATTCATGGTTTTATTTTTTTTTCAACATTATTGTGTGAAATGGTAATTGATAGCCATTGGCAGTTGTATAACAAATAATGGTATATATTCCTTTGAAGGTTATACTGTTGGTTGGCAAGAGTATAATATATCTTCAACTTATCAGAGTGAGGAGATTTCAAGTGATACAGTAGTTTATACAGTTACTGGACTAACACAGTTAACTACCTATGAGATAATGGTCTCAGCCAGTACACAAATGGGAGCAGGTCCAACTGTTGTATCTACTATTTCATCAGGCGTTCCACCAGGTAAAATATATATCATATTTGCTAGATATTAGTAGTGTATGTTCAACATTTGGAAATTATTAATTATTATTATTATTATTACAATGTTCATCATCATCTTGCTATAAAAATATAACTGATAATCACAGCCAGGAGCACATGACAGATCTTGATGCCATGAATTACCTGATAGGTAATTTTTGATTGGATAATTCTTGACCCTGTCAAAAGCTCACAAATGTGTAATTTTGAATTTCTGATGCCATCTAAATTACGATGATGATGAACTTGTGTCATAGGACAACCTAGTTATCTGAATGCCTATTGTGGGCATCTTAGATGTTATATTATTTTTTAGCAGATCACTGTTATTTATTATCTGTTTTTATCTGAAAAAAAATGAATCGCTAAATATTGAATCAACCATAAAGTATGCTTTTAAATTTAGATGCACAAAATCACAATTTTTATTTTTGTAAATTTTATCACTATGCCCATACAAAGTATCAATTAGGACAGCCAGAATAATGATGATACTACCAGAGTCATTCTCTGTATTCCTTAATTGCATCACAGTCATAGGTATGTTGCTAACTGTTCTCTTCTTTGTTTTTCCCTCTTAGAACTACCCACAAATCCTGTCAACGTTGTTATATCTAATGTACAAGCCCGTTCGGTGAATATCCAGTTCACTCCTGGCTATAATGGTAAAACCAGTATCAATACATGGAAAGTTGAAGCACAAATTAATGGTGCTGAACAATGGGTGACACACTATGAACACCATGATCCTGATGCACTTGGCTTTGTTGTGCCCGATCTGCTGCCTTACACCAAGTATATTCTTCGTGTCACTGCTATTAACGTTGTTGGTGCAAGTCATCCTAGTGATCCTACAAGCGAATTTGAAACACTGCAAGATTGTAAGTTGACTTTTAATGTAATTCTTCATGGCAGTACCATATATATTCTAGTTGAACTGTCAGTTCTGGCGTATATTACGGCTGAATGAATGTATTTAGTAATCACTAGCACTGATCAAGTTTGCAATGTTGTTTCTAACTAACGTGAGTGGGTAAGCTACATTTCCTGGGCTGATGGGGGCCCTTATTATTTTGGGTCCAGTGTACGTGTTTGTCTGTTTGTTAGTTGCATTTTTAAGTTAATGACCAAAAGATAAATGAAACATGAAAATATATAAAAAACAAAGTTGGACCAATTTGGTTATAGCTTTAGTTCATAGTTTCCATTGCTGATAATAATCACAACATCTTTCGGTATAAGGTATGAATACATGCCAAGAACTTTGTGCCAGTCTCATTCATTTGTTCTAAAAAGCAATTATCAAGTCCACGAACCTTGGTGTTTCAGGGAAGCTGGCCATTATGGACATTTCACATCAGACCACCACAGTAGGTTAAGACTTTTTATTGGCCTTGTTAGACAGGAGGCCTCTATACAGTGTCTTTTGCATGTAAATTTGGTCAGGACTGTTTTGTTGTGGCTTCTCTGTAGAATTGGCATTCTTCTATAACAAGTCAACATCTGAAAATGTAAATATTCCTTGTTTTGTTTTTAGATCCTTCCACAGCACCTGCTTCTGTTACAGTTAGAGCAAACAGTGAAACATCTCTCACTATTAGCTGGATTGTAAGTTATATTTCTTATTGTATGATGTTGACATAACATTGTGAAAAAACAGTACCCATAACATTTAATTTAATTTCAAAGTAAATTTGTGAAACGTCACTTCCAGAACAATATAAAATTGTAAATTGATGTTTTTGCAATAAAATATGTGTTTATTCTGCCCTCACTTTTGCACACATTTCATTTTGTGAGTACTGGAGGTTCTTATCTTATCCTCCTTACCCTGCCTGTTTACAAATCTAACTAAAATTTTTATTCTTCAGTTATTTTCTCATTACCCAGCCATCTTCTCAACATTTCATGATACCAACAAAATTTGCTCAGTTTGAAATGCAACCTTGAATACACTGTCATTCTATTTGTATAATTTGATTTAGCCATTAACTCGAGAGCAGTGGAATGGTGTACCATTAGGTTATCGTGTTTCTTGGAGATCCAAGCCAACAGTTGTTAAACGTAGTTTATCAAATGGTTACTTTCAATCAGTGAATATTGATGATTACATTGGACGTACTTATGTTATTGAGGACTTAGAAGAATGGATGTGGTATGAAGTCAAAGTTTTGGCCTACAATGCTAAAGGCAACGGTCCATACAGTGATATTATTGAAGAAAGAACAGGAGATTCAGGTTAGTCTTGTTTTTACATTATTTGTTGTAAGAACTGCTACTGACATGATCTACATTTATTATCCCTTGGCAGCGGCATAGGCGGGGCTTTGGGGGGGGGGGGGTTTATAGTGGTTACATGTAGGTATATGAAGTCATAACTAAAGATTTTCATCACTTTTGAAACTTGGTGTGTGTGTGGTCATGGTAATACAGTTCTGGTGGAAACAAAATGTATATTGCTTGATGAGTGGTGAAAATGTTCAGACCTTTTTAGGCTCATGGTGTATCCATTCTTTTCTTCCATTCTTTCCAATCACTGGTTATGGTAAATGCAGACTCAATAATTTGTCACACCCTCCTAAACTTAATAATAACCTGTTTTACATTTTAGAATCTATCCCTTTTTTTGACATGCCTGGAATGATTTCCCTATTTTCTTTATGATGTCTGGTGTTTAGGTCACGAGAGATTACTTTGAAAAAGTAATACCTGGGACTGTTACATTTTCATTACATCATCATTAATTTCAAAAGCTTATATTGTAATTATGTTCTCTTAGCACATTCTTACATTCTACTGATTTGTATTTTATTCTTAGTTCCTAGTGCAGGTCCTCAAAATGTGGTAGCAGTAAGTACAGGATCTACAACAATTGATATTGCATGGGTTGATATACCACAAAGTGATCAAAATGGAGAAATTTTAGGATACAAGGTAACGTATCCATATCCAATTACTGTTCCTACTTATGTTGAGAGCATTCAATAGTATCTCTTGCATCTCCACTTCTAACATTTTTTTTGTGTTGTGGAAACTTATTCATCATATATAAATTGTGTATCAGATCAGAAGCACACACAAACCCAAAATTGTTGAATTTATGTTTACATTGGATTATCAAAATATGACTTACTTGTATCCCCTTTGATATAGTTTGAAATTGGCATTTGTGTTTAGATTCCATTCGTCCAACATCATTGCAACTTCTTTTGTTATTTTTTAGGATGTTATAATAATTTAAACTAGGACTTTAATATTTAACGGTACCGATGTGTATTTGATGCAAGCTTGTATGACAGCGCCCCCTAGAGTCAAGGTGTAAATTTGGAGTCATGAAACGAATTCTTCTCTGATATTAAAACTTTGGGTAATCAATGTTACATGCTGAATTATATAGTATATATTACATAGATGTGTTTATTGATGTATCACAGGTGTTATATTGTGAAAGCTTTGCTGATGTTGATTCTTGTGAATACTATGACATAACAGACAACTCAAGCCGATCTACTCGCCTTAGTAATCTCAAGAAATATGTGACTTATGATATACAAGTGTTGGGCTACACTAGAATTGGTAATGGTGTGCTAAGTGAACCGGCAGCGAGAATAAGGACAGATGAAGATGGTTTGTATTTTAACGTTGTTTATGTTTACGTTTTTATCTTGAACATCTCATTCTTTTAATTTTGTGCACAAAGTACATTGAAATCTTTTTTGCAGCTACCCTATCAGTAATGCATGTGTGTGTCTGTGTTTCTGATATTTTGAATGCCACTCATTGGATTTCAATGAGACGTACACAGAACTGATTAGTGTTTGCTTAAAATCTGTGTATATTAAGTACCTAATTTGCATAATAATTAGCTAGCTATATCTGTTCCATTGATATCTCTAGCCACAGATTTCAATTACACTTTGTGCATAGACGTTCTGGGACATCTATGCACATGAATTACTGATTTATCTCAAGAACCACTCAATAAAACTTAGTGTATACCGGTAGGTGCTCTAAGATGATCCATAGATGTGATTAATTTAGTGTTGCCACTGCCCATACTAAGTAATCAAGTAATTTGCCTAATTAAGCAAATTTTTGATTTCTCAGTAACCAATTGACAAATTTGAATGAAAATAGGAATACTAGAATATTCCAGATAAAAGTTATTAATTTAGGGTTATAAACCATGCATAATAATTACATGATTTACATAAATAAGTTACTGGGTAAATTTTCAATTTAAAGTTCCACCATCAGACTTCAATGAAGCTTGGTACATTATTTAGGCGCAAAACTGCAAACCATAGATGTGCAATTCAATTACTGGTAACTCATTTTGTTAGTACTTTATTATGAAAATATATACTGTAAGGGTTTTATGGCTTTTACACTGTGCATCTCAAAAACCAAAGTTATATCAGCCATCAAGCTACTGTAAATTAATTTTTAATATTCTCTAGTTTTAATTTATGTGCCTTCAATATCCTCAGTACACAGGAGTTCTTTCTAAGCTCGCTTTGATTGCTTACATGCCCATGGGTATTTTGATTGGTGGCTGGGATTTTTTAAATTATTGAATACTAATATGGAACATAGAAACACCTTTAACACCTTTTTTTCTTTATTCTGACTAGTTCCTGGCCCAGTTACTGGTATATTGTTTCCCAATGTGTCAAATTCATATGCCAAAGTTCAATGGGAAGATCCACCAGAACGCAATGGTATCCTTACAAAGTTCAAAATAAGTTATAAACTAATGAGCGATGATGCACAAATTATCGATGGAACTGAGCTGGATATTAATACCCATTCATATGAAGCAAGTAATCTGAATGCACAGGAATATTATGAGTTCACTATTTCAGCCGCTACTCGTCTAGGATGGGGTGAACCAGCAGTTGCATTAGTACTTACAGTAAATAATAGAGGTGAGTAGTCTTTATTTATGAGAGCTTGACATATTTAAAGAGATGATTTCCCAGCTGATCTTTCCTTACCCTAGATATTCATTACATATTATAGGGGTAATGCTGCAATATTTCACAATTCATTACTTTCTTTATGCATTCATCATTATATAATTATAATAATAATTCTTTGTTTTGATAGATCCTCCACAATCACCATTTGGGCTCATTGTGGATCGACAGCTTGTGTTCAGTCGCAGTATTGCATTGTTGTGGTCACGCGGCAGTGACGGCAATTCACCAATACGTTACTTCACCATTCAGTACAGAAAGAA